GAAGTGATTCATGTCGAGAATTGTAAAAAATTGGAAGAAATAATAGCATCAGATCCCGAAGAAGAAGGAGAAGGAGGAGACAACATCAAGAAGCACATCCTTCCAAAATTAAAACGGCTGGAATTGTTTCAATTGCCCGCATTGAAGAGCATCTGTAGCAGGAGTGGAGTAATGGGATGTGATTCTCTTGAAGAGATTAGAATTCAGCATTGCGAGGGCCTAAGGAGGATGCCTGTTTATCTTCCCCTGCTTGATAACGCCCAACCATCTCCTCCTCCTTCCCTCAAAGAAATCTTTGCAGATTCAAAAGAATGGTGGGAATCGTTGAAGTGGGACCATCCCAATGCAAAGGATGTCCTTCAACCCATGATTAAATTTTCTTCGGTTGCATCACTGGAATCGGAACAGTCAGAATCAGAGGATTATCCAGAAGATTGAGGATCTGTCTGAATTTTGTTGTTGCCGCATCAATTAGTGTATTTAAGCATTTCAGTCCACTGCTGTCTACATATGTTCTCAATTTTCATGAATTAGCTCAAGACTCATTCCAAAAGCAGGTTAAATTCACTTCTCCTTCTTCTTCTTTTCAGTTGTGTGCATCTTTTTTATTCCACGTGTCTTGAAAAACTAGCAGATAAGCTTGAACTGTTTGTTTGTTTAACTGTTTCATGAAACGAGCTTTGATATTGTCTTATCAAATTTACCCTTTTTATAAGGACTTTCATATTTTTTTATCAAATTGGTTGATTATTGTTAAAAATGTATAGTACTGCTTCATTTACCCTTCTATTGAGGTCTTTGATATTCAGTTGATTTTCAAGTAATGAGTTTTATTTTTATTTTTATTTTTAAATTTAGGTGTGACTCTTTGCAAATCTTTGTTATAGCATTCGTTTCCTACAAATTGAAGAATTTTCAACTAATGAACTTTTCTTTTTTTTTTTGATCAGGAAGCGGATTCAGTCTGTCTTGTTCAGGGAGCTTCAAAGGATGTGCATTCTACTTTCTAGTTTCTACCCTTGTGTGGATTTAAGTGTGATTGTTGTGCTTTCAATTTCATACTGTGTGTGTGAATAATTGTGTTGAAAACGGGATTCAAAGAATGTGCTTTCTACTCAATGTAAATGTACATATAAAATATGTTGTCAATCCAATCTTTGATGATTTAAGCGCTACGTTGAAATTCTCACCCAGAACAATCAAATCAACAATTAATTCTCTTCTTCTGTTCTGTTAGTGTGGTAGCTTCCTGTTCAACAGAACTACCGATGGCAAGGATTCAATTGTTTGATTTTAAAGGTTTAGAGAACTTTTGCAAGCCCAGCATAAAGGTTGAGACTCTTTCTTTTTTTTGTAAGCACCCTGGTCGTAGGAACTCATATTTTTTATGGTTTGGTGGGAACTGTCACAAGATCATCGTATATCCAGAAGAATGGTGGGAATTGTTGGAGTCTCATCATCCCAATTCCTAGGATGTTCTTCGACCCTTCTGTAACTTCTATCTTCATGAATTAGCTGAAGAATATGATTATAATGAATGGAAATGAACAAGCAGAGAAGATCTAGACTAAGAGGAGATGGAGGGAGAAGATCTAGACCATGAGGAGACCATTTTTTATCACTCTGCAACAAGCTTGTCTCCACCATGACTTC